CTAAGATCTAAAAAGTTCATACAATTTTTGTGCATAGAGACATGTGAATCACAAATTAAATTAAAAATTAAATTATAAATCACGAGATTATCGAAGATGAAGAGATATTTATGAAATTTAAAAATTCATAATAATTTATATTTGATGTTCATTTTATAAGAAATTTATCATTAAAAAATTATAAAAAATAATATATATATATATTTGAATTAAAAAACAACTTGGCAACTGAACTTTTATAAAAATCTCAATGAGATAAGAAATATAAGTCAATTAAAGAATATGACAACATATAATAGCTCTGTTTAATATAAATATCATTTTAGATATTAAAAATCAACACACTCTAATGTTGTATATTAATTTTGTAAATTAAGTAATTAAATTTTTTATCTAACTTAAATACAATCACTTTTTTTAAGGATTATGTATGAAGAATTGGGAAAATATATTTTGTCATGTTTTTTTAATTTATATTTTTTTAATGATTAGGTTATGCATGTTGTAACACCTGGACTCGAAATTTAGACATGAGATAATTAAATTATAATAATAAGATAAATTAGAAAATTTTTAATTTTAATTTTAATTTTAATTTGTAATTGAATTTTTGAAGAAAATTGTGTTTTGGATGTATTTAAAAATATTTTTAAAAATCATTATCAAAGTAGAAATAAATGATGACCTATTTGAAAAAAAAATCTAAAAAACTGGGGTAAAAGTGGAAATAACAAATGTAAAAGCTCAAAACTTAAGGAAATTGAAATATTGAATTAAGTAAATATATGCGAAAACAATTAAGGGGTTTAAGATTTACATATCTTACACAATGATTCGAAGATATCTAATAAAATTATGAGAATATCTTCTTAAGAAAGTTATCAATAATGGAATAAATAAATAAAAGAAAACACATGTAAAATTCTTATAGAGTTAATCTCTGCTAGGCAACTCTGATGGGATGCGGGAGGTTGCTTTTATTCGTACAATTCTTACTGCTCAGGATTTGAGACTTTGTCTTCCTTATCTGAAATTGTTAAATAAGGGGGATGAACTACACTAATTTAGTAAGAATATCACACTTAACACCGATACAGAAAACCAACGCTGGTAAAAATCGTAAAACAACCAATGGAATCGTTATCTCTTTTTAAATAAATTCATTTAACATAAAAATCGTTATTTTATACTTACCCTTATGAGTTTTCAAAACTGACCTATAAAGATAATAACCATAATAATATTTTATTACACATTTGAGTGAACAATAACAGTAAACTTACCTTATTATCTGTTTACCAGTACTTCTAGGGGTTGATAGGGATACTCCCTACGCGTGGACCCAATACTCAATTCATCAATTAACCGGTCGTCCCCATATCCCGTCTGGTATTAAAGTGATCTACACCTCCCAACCCCTTATAATGTAAGATTTTTCAGTCTTGTTCGAATGAGATAATGTTCACGGTAGGATTTTTCTTATGCACCGGGTTCGTACACCATTTCTTAGGGTACCCGATGAGCCTTTCATACATATATCCACATCAACTAATCATAATTTCATACTGATATTTCATATTTACATATCAACAGTAAGTCATGCAATGGACAATATGCAAATCAATCAACAGATAGGGACAAAACGGGTAGATAAACTTATAGTGAGAAAAACAATTAAAACTAATAAATTATAGCACATGATGCAACAGTAAGCATTTTAGGCAGTATAGGAGAAAATAAACAATAAGGCTAGGGCAATTATACACTGATCGATTTTAGCTCCACTGGTGACCTATAATTAATTTTAGGGATTTCTAATTTTTATAAAACACACAATTATCAATTATTAAACTTTAATTTACCATAACGGAGGAAAATGGTGAAAAATTCTTACTCCGGATCGGTATTCAAAACACTGTCTTTTTCATTGTGCCTCTTGGTGATTATCGAGTGTCTTGAGTTTTTTATGCGAAAATAAAAAACACGCATTACGTATTTCAGAATACTTAAAAAAGCCAAAATAAGTATTTTTAAAATTTTTAGTCGGTTTAGGGTTCCAACATGGCGCCACTGCCATGCTTTGGTGCTGGCTTCATTGCCAATGGCGGTGTTTCCTCTTGGCCTGGCCGTTTTTGGCCGATTTTGCATGAAAACTTGCAAAAAAAGGGTTAGGAGGCCTATGTCGGTTAAAAAATGAAGAAAATTGAGACCTTATTGGCGAAGAGATTTTTTAATGCAGCAGCTCTGTCGTTCCTCTCTTATGGTCGGGGTTTCTCTTCGGATAACTTGCACTAGAAAAAAATGAGGAATATTACAGTCAAAAAATTGAGAGAAACGGGAAACAGAAGGGGCTCATCAAAGGAGTTTTTAGGTTATAGCCACGGTGGCTTGGTCGAGCTCTCCTCGTATTTTTGGGCTCATCCATTGACCTTTTGGCTCCAATATGAGTGTAAAGAGGTTCAAAATTCAATTCCGAGTAGAATGATAAAAAAATTTACCTTTTCAGCTGCGATGGTGGCTCTGGTGCAGTGGCGACGGTGGCCAGTCTTTTCTCTGGCGACTGGTTCACTTTCTGGCTGCCTTTCTTCTTATTCTCTAATCTGAGGTGTTGGTTAAGGTTTGGAAGCCGACCAAAGAGAGGTTTAAATACCTCTCTTCCCCTAATCTTGATCATCCATTTGTGTCGATGTGGAGCAAGGAAAACCGTCCGATTCGAGACCCATTTAGGCAGATTTGGGTACAAATTCAGGTCGTCCATCACGATCATCCAGAGTGAATCTCGCTCATTCATCGCCCCACTGTTGGATCTTCACACAGCTGATCAAAGCCATCCATTTGAATTTGAGCGAGATTGGGATTTCACTGTTTGTGCGGGCGGGAATGGATGTGGGCTATTGGATCGTCTAAGCACATGGATCCCCCACATAGCTCCCACGTGCAACTCGTGCCAGTGTGTCCGTCACGCGGCGTGTTTTGACCCATCATTGCTGCTCTCTCACTAGTCAAACAGTTGGAGGTACTGGGCCCTAAAGTCTGATTCTAGCTTCCAAGTGCCCTCATCCTTCAAGTGATTTTGCCGTAAGACCTTGACAAAAAGAATTTTTCTGTTGCAAAACACTCTACTCTTCTGGTCCAAAATACCTACCGGCACCTACTCATAGGATAGATCCTCCTGGAGTGAAAGTGGTTCATGAGACAAGATATGCAAGAAATCTAGATTGTACTTGTGTATCATAGACACATAAAATATATTATGTACTCTGGATAACTCTGGAGGTAGTGCTAGTATGTAGGTGGATGTACTAACTTTGTCTAATATCTCAAATGGTCCGATGAACTAGGAGTTTAATTTTTCCTCTTTCCAAACCTGTTGATACCCTTAAAGAGATGTGACCTTAAGAAACACTCGATTGCCTTTCTTAAATTCTAAATCTCTCATTCGGGTGTCCGCATAACTTTTATGTTTACTATGGGTTGTTTGAATATTCTTCCTGATTTTAGTTATCTTCGTTGTGGTCTCATCTACCAAGTTTGGGCAAATCGATTTTCCATCACTCACCTCTTTCTAATAGATCGACGATCTACAGGGTCGGTTGTACAATGCCTCATATGGAGTCATGCTGATACTTCCTTGATATCTGTTATTGTAGGCGAATTCTATCAAGGGTAAGTGATCGTCCAAATGCCCTCAGAAGTTTAGAACACAGATCATGAACATATCCTCTAATGTGCGAATGATTCGTTCTGAATGTCCATCTGTTTGAGGGTGAAATGTTGTGCTAAGAGATAGTTTCATTCACAATGTTTGCTAAAAACTTAACCAAAACCGAGAGGTAAACCTAGGGTCCCTGTCTGATAGTACTGTCACCAGAACTCCATGTAGCCTGACTATTTCCTGAATATAGATATTTGCTAACTTGTCTAAGGGGTCAGTCATTCTAATGACCAAGAAGT